TCCGATCTAGCAGTAGCAGTAGCAGTAGCAGTAGCAGTAGCAGTAGCAGTAGCAGTAGCAGTAGCAGTAGCAGTAGCAGTAGCAGTAGGAGCATTCGCATTTAGCAGTAGCAGTAGCATTGGTAAGCAGTAGTAGTACGATTCTACTTCCAGTGGCTACTGCTTCGATTGTAGTTGGATGGCTATTGTTCTCGTCCCCACGTTTGCGGTCATCAGTTGTTGAACTATCATCAATAAAGCCAACTGCTTCTTTGTCTAGTGTTCGTCTGTGTGTACTATTGCTCCGATAGTATGCAAAATCGAACACAGAAAGCTCATCGTGAATCGAGCACCGCTTTTGTGTGTTTGCCAGCGACAGCGACACCACGTCTGTGTCCGCCTCCAATGCCTGAGCTTTGCTCGTGGTTTGGCGTTCTCAATTGTAGCAGCGTTCTCAAATGTAGCACTGCAGCAGCGGCAGTAGTCGTCATCGTGGCGGTTTTGGTGGTAGTGGTATTAGCTTTTGCAGCTAGTTGCAAAGCACTGCTATCATTATTGTGATTATGGTTGTTCGTTACAGTTTGTTGTGACTACTGCTACCCCTATCTGCAGTAGAAGAAACTGCGAGCAGCAGCAGCAGCAGCAGCATCAGCATGTGAAACTACACAGCCTCGAAGCCCCATCAGCACGAGATTTCGTTCCCACCAGACACCCAGCCACTAGCCCCTGGCCCCAAAACCCAGAGGCACAAGGCTTCTTCTAACTGGAGTGGCTAGGAAAGCAAAAACGGTATCTGCAGCAAATACTACATAGGTACAACGTGAATGTTTCAGTGTGAAGAAGACTGGACAATCCTGACGAAATTTAGTGCTTAACGTCACCAGCTCCACTTATGTCCACTTGTCGACCATGGCATACGCTGATAAGACGAGACTTCCTAAACCCCACAAACTCCAAAGTCCTAGACGCCAGACCGTGCACTAAACCCGACTTAAGCCAAGACTACATCAGTTGCAAAAGCTCTAGCCTGCAGGCTGCGTCCGGCCTCGGCCCCGGAGAGGAGAACTTCCGTTGGCACCCAGGGAGACAGCGCGAAGAGCGCCTGCAAGCTTCAGAGGATTTGGAGCAAATAAATTCAAAATTGCTGATTTTGAGGCTATGGTAGCTTATTGTTGGGTTTATGATGGGGTTTAGGTGGAGAGCTTTGTGCTTGATTCTACTGTATGGCGTCGACGGAGACGGCCAGCTGTTGTGCGTCATCTCCATTTCCAGTAATGGACTTGTGCCTCTCACCCCGACACCCAAATACCTGGCCCAAAACCCGAGCCCAAAGCCAGGGTTTTACAGAACCGCTGACAACAATTGAAGCTCGTGCAAAGCCTCCGCGCGGGCTTCGGTGGCTACCCGTTTTAGGTGGTCCTTGGCTGACGGACGGCTGACGGACTGCTGCATCAAACGAAGGACCCCCTGTCTGCATTGCTCTTCTGAGAACAATGAACAAGGCGTCTCTATCTATGTTGCAATAGTACAATGGTATACGCTCAGTCCCACAACGAATAAAGCCCACCAAAAGCGGCGCTCGGAAAACGACTCGGCCCGACTCGGCGTTGATTTTGGCTTAACAGACACAGTTGAAAGATTTCTGTAAAGACGGTTGGAAGTGTCCGCTTATTCCAGCAGAAGCAAGTGTGCTGCATACCAATCCACTTGAAATGTATAAGGGCACATCAACTCTCGCATTGTGCAGACTATGCCGTTACTATGCAGAAAGGGGCAATGCAGAGTTGGTGCACTTAGCCTCGGGTCGAGGCCGGTGACCTCCAAGGCTGGAAGGTGAAGAGCAGTGAGATATGCTATCCCGGTACGAAAAACAAGAATAATATTGAAGGAGATTCGTACCGTCACAGCAAAGTCATGTTTGCCTTCTTGTTTCTCCTAGTCTTCAACTTTCTTACCCCTGCTCTTCTCCGATCCCTCATCATCACCAGACTTGCGGCCATCATGGTCCTCATCATCACCATCATCATCATCAACATCATCATTCAGCAGCAGCCGCAGCACCACCACCAGCATCTTTGTCAGCATGTTCACTATCGTCGTGGAACTCATTTCCGCCTTCATCACCATTACCACCATGATCACCACCACCGTCATCAGCAGCATCACAACAGCGACATCTTATGAACCTGTGCACCTACAAACCGCATCCTGCATGTCTCCTGCAAAGGCATCGGGCATCGCTTATCACCTGTATCTGCTCATACACGGCTCCTTCGGTATCTCACGTGGCCACTATCCACCTGAAAGGAACAATGATCCGTCAAGATGCTGAAAACGATTTCTCACCAACTTTCTCCACTGCGGCCGCATGCAGGCCCTGCATAAGACAAACAGCAAATTCTATTATTTTCCTAACCTTGTCTGTTTCAGGAAATGAATTGTCGGTGGCCACGTGCTACCTTAATGTCAGAGTCTCCCTTCTTGAACACAAGCTTCATGTGTAATCTCAATGCCTCCAGCAGGAAGCTATTCTAACTGCTCGGTAAGGCTCCACCAGAAGAATGGAACCATTTATCTCACCTGGCATGTGCTTTGAACGCCAGAAGCTCAAGGTCTACAGTCCCCAAGCGCTCTATCAATGCAAACTGCAGACTTGGGTTGTTCCGCTTCCTTGGAAAGCTGTCGCAGGTCTGGACTGCAAGAGTTTGCTAGGATCTGCAGACATCGTCCCCCTCAAATTGTGGTCTTTAGAGGCTCAACTCAAACCTCGTCGTTCGACTCTACCAGGACGAAACTGATGATCACTCACAGATGCCACAGCACCCTCAGCATGAAGTATATCTGGGTCTACAACCTTTGCCCTTACCCCGCGGTGCTCCATGTGGTGCACTTCAAGCGCCTGGTTCGGCTGCAATTGCCACAAGGACCAGGACCAGCTTGCCGCCCCACTGGGGCACCTTTCACTTTCTGGGTGGTTGTTGCAAGTCGTGCTCATCTGCAAGATGCTGCATCAATATTAGCGAAAAATTACGGATTGAAGGGTGCAAGGTTTTCGTGTTGGGTTTCCATCATAGCAACGAACTTCAGCATTAAGCCGAAGCCGAATATCACATTCCTCAGTCACAAATCTTGCAGTTCAGATCCACCTCCCAATCTGGCGCCGCTGTGACGTTGCCGGAGCTGCGAAGCAAAAGGGCTGGGATGAGGCTTTCAGGTGCCAGAAAGGCTTCGGCGCGTGCTTCCGATTGAGTTCGGGCAGAGTCAAGGACCTAGGCCCTAGGCCGGTCTCGGTTCGTTTTGGGATCGAATGCGCTCCACGTGCACTCCATCACCAGAATTCGGATAAAAACTCTTTCAGGGTTTGCTATTCCTTCGACTCCTGTTGTGCCTGAGGTCTGCTGCAAGGCCTCTCAAGGACTCTCCCTCATTCAGGGCTTCTGAATGTGCTATGCCTGCTATACTTTCGAAACTGTGCGTTCGTTTAGGGCTTCCGACTCTGGTCTGTTTTGGCGTCTGCAGTCCTAGGTCCTAGGGTTTCTGAAAACTGTAGTCTTGCTGCAGTTTCGGGAGTGGGTTTTCAAGGATGCTTCAAGCTGGTTATATTCAGAATCTTCCTATCTGTTTACCTTGCTTCGCTGTCGACTGTTTTGTTGGAGCGCTTGTGCTACCTCCTCTGCCAGGCTCTACCATCACTACCGAAACCGAACCATGAACTCTGACACCGTTAGCTCCAAAGCCCCAAAGCACGAAATTCTCTGCACTGGCCTGTGCTCGTGGACCAGTGCCATGGCAGCCTCCTCGTCGTGGGACAGAGCGGCCCTGAACTCCGCAGACGGAGTTCGGGACTCATGCAAGCTTCGTGAGGGCGCCCACATGCTCGTATACCACTCAAGCCCCCAACTAAAACCGAACATCGGAACCCGGCCTGAGCTGTGCCAAAACGGCAATGGTGGTAGGATGCTGGAAACCTCGCCGTGCCGAAAAGTCAGCTATCCAGGGCTCAGCGTTGAAGTTGAAGGTTGACTGTTCATCTTTAGGATTTGGGTACGAAGGTTTGAAGCATCGTTGAATCTGGCTTTTGCATCGAACCTTGGCCAAGGCATATCAAGCAGAAAGGCTTTGGCCGACTCAACAGATCGGCGAAGGACTCCAACACCTAAAACCGAGCTCCTGAAACCCTATGCCCCGGCTACCCAACGACTCAAACATCGAGCCGACCCCGAGGACAAAAGGCAGCCGGCACCTAAGGTTTGCTGGAGGCCGGCCAGCGCTTGCCGAAAGGCTGCCACGCCCTGAGGTGCGGCATGCATGCTGATGTTGCGATATCTGAAACGAAATATTCGGTGTCCGAATTGCAGAGATCCGGACGGTAACGTGCAACGTAGCCCGGGGTATGGTTTCGATACGAAGGAGGCAACTTCGGGTTTTCGTGCTTATGCACCTAGCCCTCCGAACTTACTTTCCGACCGGCTGTTTCGGGGGCCTCCCTGCCAATATGTTTCGAGACAATTGCGATCATACCTTTTCACGAAATCATCTTGGAGGCCATGCCGTCTGGGAGGCCGATGGTTCATAGACAGACTGCGCATTCGGGAGATGGGAGCCCGATCCCCCGCGGCCAGCATACAAACCCGAATCTAGCATTCAGGGAGCTACAACAGCAGAGGTAAAGGGCGCATCCCATGTATGAGTTCCGTAGAGCCGAAAGCCCTGGCAGCAAGCTGGCCGGTTGGGATCAAAATCTGTCATCTGACTTGCGCGAACAGCACTCATGTGCAGGTGGACTCCATGCGATACATGCCCGCAACAGCACTGCTGCCGTCGCAATTACAGGAAAGCCCCAGCCATTGTCCAAACAGCGTCCAAACCAAATCCTGCACTTGCATGTTGTGCCCACCCTGATGGCACTGATGCCCACCCACCTCCTCTTGGCGGCTGGCCGCAAAGAGGGTAGCGCCCAAATCACGGCGAGCCTCACGGGGCTTGCACGGGTCAGCATCCGAAAGCAAACGAATTGAAACCCCTGGAGCGCCACTTTACAGCTACGGGGCATTCAAGCGGAGCATTCAGGCTTCAGGGATGCGGCTGGCTGCAATGCGACACGGCTCAAGGATGGTGGAATCGCAGGTCACGAGCTGCGGTTCTCTTCAGCGACGTGACTGGGACCCGATTCCATCGCCGTTCAACCGTCCGATAGGTATCATAATTGAGGGCACCTGTGTTTCCATTAACTCAATATCGGAAGCCCCCGAGCAGAACACCAATCGGGCAAGAAGCCATAACCATCGATCTCACACTCCCACCTCCTTCTCCACCTTACAACAAAGTCCAGAACAGCAGACCGGCAGCTCTGATGTCCTCGAAGAGTCCATCCACTTAGCCGAATCTGATATATGATATACGGTGCAGCACAGAGCAAACCCCCACACCTCTCGCCCCGCCGAGGATTGTGGGTGGGTGGGTTGGGGCTTGGGATAGCTTCCAAAATCCCGAACCTACGGTGGCTGCAAAGCATCCTAGCGCCAAAATCGGCCACTGTCCATGAAGGAGGCGAGGGTATATCAATGCCGACAACCTCCTTAATCGCCAACATCAAAGAACCCACAGTTGCGCCTCTAGAGCTTCTGGGTGTGATGCACCCAGCAGTTGATGCTTCCCCTGGCATTGGGCTTCTGGCTTCTGGGTTCTGCCAAAATGTTGCAGGACGTTTTCAGGGATTGGGGCAAGCCCTTGCAAAGCTCAACAACTCAACGTCAGACTTCGGGTCAAATGCCCTTCAATGACCCTTCTCGATCCTCGATCCGAATCCAAAGCGCGCAATCTGTAATCACAGCCGTAGAGCGCGCGTACGCAATGCCGACAGACGCAAGACATTGCAAGACCTCCAAATACGGAAGACGTGGCCAAACACGCCAGCACAGGAAATCTAAACTCTGCACCACATTTTCGAAACAACACCATGCCATCAAAGTCGTACACCCTCGAATCCGGCCGGCAAAGCACCACATAAACCTACACTCCAACATATTCAACAATCTGCAAACGCAAAAAAAACCCTGAAGCCCTGAAATCTCCAAAGAGCCGCTACCATTGCACTCTTTGTTGGCTCATTACATTAGACCACGCCTCGGCAGCTTCGCGTGCCACCAAGGCTGCAGCCTTGAGACAGTAACCACAAAAAACAGGTGATGAGTGGTCTCTGGATTTCAACTGCGTAGGGTAGGACAACTTAACTCCTGCGGCTTCAGACTAGGAAATACGACCTGGCCGCTCTCAGAACCGGTAAATCATGAATCTCAGTAGCCCATGCCGACAACACTAACTGCCGGTACACTAGTATTCACAGCATGATACAGCATGTCCATGGACGCGAGCCGCGGCAAGTTGGTGCACCAAGGGCGCCGCAACGGGTGCGGGCAACAAGTCGGGGCCGTGACTGCCGTAAGGACATAATCTGAAAGGCCCATTACCATGCAAATATAGATGATTACCTCCAGGGCTCCACAGCATGGAGCTCTAGACCGATACACTGAATTGTCAAGCCCTTCAGCTCCAACCTGCTTCTCCGGCCTGTGCAGCTGCGGCATCACCAAGTTGCCCGCGGCTCGACAGCGCGAGGCTCAAATTCCTCGAAGGGTCGTTGAGGCTGGGCAGCGGCTGGGCTGCTTGTACCCTCCGGTGAGGGTCTCAGGTTCATGACATTAAAATTTCGAACTCTGGTGCTACGTATTGGAGTTGGCGAGACATACGGAAGTCTCCTCAACCGTTCCATGGGGCATCCAGGAGCACTTTGAAGAGCTGGCACTGCAAGATCTCGAACTTGAGTTAATTGCACCCTAAGACCCTAAAACCTAATCAGGCCTCTGCAATATGAAGGCTACGAGCTTGAAGATGCAGCTTCCTATCCAAAGGCTGCGGGTGAACCGTGAGTGTTTTCGAAATTGTGCTCGGATGTTGTTCGTACGTCTCGCAAATCTCGACTGTGTGCTTGTTTGATTCGGACCGCTTACGAGCACTGGCATGCTGGTGGCTTGTGGAAAGACGCGGTGTGCAACTCTGAGCATTGATGCTTCCCCGGTGATGCTTGCCATCGCATGAGATAACTCTAGGTTGCTTTACAGCGGAGGGCGCGGTCTCAAGGCACCAAAGCCACCACGACTACCGTCAGCACAATCATGATTTCGGCGAAGGTGAAGTGCTTGCCACACCCTGAACTGCTTGCACTCTTTCGAGGCAAGCTTCAAGAATCGTCGCAGTCGTCTTGTGCTCGTGTAGTACGCCTAATTTTTTGTAAGATTCGGAGCTAATCGCAACATATTGTCAACATAAATATAGCTGAAAGGACCTAGTAGTAGGTAGGCATGCATGCAGACATGCACGTGTGCAACTGCCTTGCTTGAAATTTTTGTAACCAACATACGAGTTCTGGCTTGTAAACACGAACTTAGCATGACGTGAATTGCAGACTTGCAGAAGAAGATGCATGTTTGTTGATATCCGTGTGTGGATATGGTCTACCCGCTGACACTGTGGTACATGCGAGTAACCTGCTTAAGCATCTCTCGTTACAAAATAGTATACTGATCAGTTGCATATGTTGGGGCCCTCCGAAAGCGAAGGTTCATGGCACATTATGCATGACGTAATTTCCTTCCCAGGCATAGGGCATATCCTCGTTTTTGGTCGACACGAGTTTCGCGAAGTAAACTCTGTGCTGCCTCCACGCTTGGCACCCCAAAAACTCGAAAAGGACACCGGGTGAATGGGCACGCAAGTGCCAACTGCATATATGATCCCGGTTCAGCTGAAGGCCACGACTCCCCTGAAAGTGAGCACATCCTCCACCCACGCAAGACCTTGCAACCAAAACAGTTGCTTATGTTGAACTGAACAACATCACCATTGTGGGCGAAGCGGCTGCAGGGCTGTGACAGACAAGGGGTGCCGTGGGCCCACCACAAGCTCCTTGGTGCGTGCTTCAGCGCAGAGCCGACAGAGCTTTTGGGCTTCGAGGCTTTCCGGTTGAGTTTGTGGTTTGGGACCTCGGTATGACATCAAAAAGGGCTTTTGGGTTTGTGGCGTCGGATTCAGGCGAGCTCATGTCTACTGTGGCTTGGAGTTTGGGGTGTGGGGATATTTGGGGTCCTTGGGGCTGTTGTTGCTTTAGGATGCAAGGCTGTTGAGTGTTTCCGAGTTGTACCTAACGCACGTCCAGCGCAACCGTGCAAATCTTTGCTGCTGTGTGAACCTGAAAGACCGTCCATCTGTGAAGGCACTTGGCAAGTTGCCTTGTCTACCGAAACATGCATCGAAGCCAGATTATGATACTCATCTTCAAAGCGACTGACTGCTGCTTAGGCTTGCATCCACGCCGCTGGATCCACACTCGACAACGCTTTTCAGCAAGAGAGGGCGCTGTAATGACTTTCATATGGATTCTTGATGGCTTTCTAGTGCTCATCGAAACAACTACGACGGTCGGCGCCGTTAAAAATCCTCGCCAGGGTTATTGCAGTCAGGATGGATGCAACTTTCAAATCGAACAGGTCCTCTTCTTCCTCTTGCTCAACACTCTCAGGCCTTTGCAAGCCCCGCAAGGGCCAAGCGCAACTCTATCTCGGCCTCCTCGGTCCTTGTGAGAACATCATCTAAAGCACGTGGTGTAGTTTCTAACAGGTTTGAGGGTTTAGGGTTGTATAAGACGGGCTGAACGTGGGAGAGGTTGACGACTGCAGTACGCCACTAGGTCAACTTATGCTCCTCCAGCGGGTGTGATGGATCAAGAAATAGATTCGTATCAAAAACCACATGGAACAAACAACAAACAGGATCAACCAAATGAAAGAGTTGTTATGCACCAGGTCTAGCAAAAATCCAGGGGTGATGGATCGACAAAAAATCAGTTTCGATCAACAAAATATTTTAACCACAGGAACCACTAGTAGTAGTAGTAGTAGTAGTAGTAGCAGTAGTAGTAGTAGTAGTAGTAGTAGTAATGGTAGTAGTACTAGTAGTAGTTGTAGCAGTACTAGTAGTAGTAGTGGTATTAGTAGTAGTAGCAGCAGTAGCAGTAGTAGTAGTGGTAGTAGTGGTGGTAGTAGTAGTAGTAGCAGCAGTAGCAGTAGCTGTGGCAGTAGCAGTAGCAGTAGCAGTAGCAGTAGCAGTAGCAGTAGCAG